GGATTCGATCCGTAGACCTATAGACTAGAAGGCTAGCTGCAGTCCTTCTAGAAGGTTGGCAAGTGGTCAAGTGGTGCAGGCAAGTGGTCAAGTGGTGCAGGCAAGTGGGCAAGTGGTGTGACTAAAGCAAGCCCATGTTGGAGAGAGTCTAGAARGTACCAGTCCGGTCCAGCAAGTACCACGGGGGGAACTGTGTGCACMATGGGCCAGGGACACAAGGCAGACCAATGCMGCACAGAAGTATAAATCAAGAGGCTGCGTCCATTCATTSATTCATTCCTGCKGATGCCATGCGGAAGCRCTGCCTAGCAGCTTGTGCGAGGAGGTCTGCAGAGTGCCCAAAGACGAAGTGGGCAGAGGAGTAGAGTGCAGCGATAGGTAGTGGCAGCTAGCGCTGCCATAGCTGTAGCCTAGCATGTGTGTGTGTGAAGTGTGATACTGAGTGTTGCGTGTGGGACATCCAGGGTGATCCAGAGTGCGAACAGTGAGTTGTGTGGGCGCTCAGTCGCCATAGCCAGTTTGAAGAGAACTCTTATGTGGATACGATATCTTGAGTACTGAGTGGGCGCCTGTCGCCAATTTGCTGTTTCGCTGTTTGCATACATGACAAGTTGAATAATCGAGTTTGATTTCACTCACGCCAAAGGCTCGGAAAATAGCGGCGCGCAGTGGGCAGGTAGCTTCGGGATTTGTGGTGCGGTTGTACTGGTGGTTTAAGGTCATTCGGTGCTTCACACGAATGCAGAAGTTTTTCATTAACGTTTCACTGTTCCACTCGGTGTCCAGGGCCCTGACCTACATGTGGTGGAGAGGGCTCCGGGCCTGGAAGTTCATTCGCTAAAGTGTGTAGCCGTGAATGGGGTCTCGTAAGTCAAGAATTTTGCTACATGTATTTGGACTGAAAAATGGACTGCTGCTACTGTCCTTCAAAGGTTTCAGCAGTTGGACTTTCGTAAAAGTTACTAATAACCCCTGCCATTGTGGTAGGTGGAGCCCTGCCCCGCTATTACACGATTGGCGGAGTTCTTGCTTATTCCACAGAGCAAGCATGTGGAGCCAAAGCATAAGTCCAGGACATAGAGCCTGGCCCTAGGGCCTGCCAAACTCATTCTTGCATGTATAGCTCTATCTGACAGACTCGGGACACGGTCTTAGAGGGGTGAGAAAGAGAATGGCAAGCTGACAGCCAATCCTCCAAACAGGAAGAATTAATGCTGTTCAGGGTTTTCGGGCCAAACAGAAGGAAGCACAAAGTGTGTAAATATGTGACTTGGCGTTGGAACCAGAGTTAAGCTCGCCAGAATGGAAATGAAGCCAGGGCCATGAGGACCTGTTTTGTTATAAAAATAAAAATAAAATCAATACAAAGTTACAAACTACTGATTTGGCTGAGGGTCATTCAGAAATTCCTTACAAAATCTGAGTGATAATAATTGGAAACTGGCTGAAAGAAAATAATTATAATTTTTGGGTCTGCCCCTTTGTTGGGAACAGATCTGGATGCCTGGATGTCATCCTGACGCAGGTCTGTGTAATAACCCTGTTCAGAAGTAGCCTGGGGCTCAGAACTCAGCTCCAGGAAACGCAGATCTGAGTTGATCTGCGCTGGGCTGTGTGACCAAGGCATGCCCAGGCCTGAGTCTGTCGAGTGTGGCTGTGTGACTGAACGCTGCACACAGGAAATTCAAGAGTCAAAGTCAACTGTAAGGTCAAAGGTACCGCACCCAGGCCCTTGGTTGGATACACTTCACTTGTTGTGCGCAGGTACCCAGACAGCATCCAGGGCGAAGGGAATTTGGTTTCAGGCCAATCTGGGCCCTCATTCGCATTGAGATCTGGACGGCTGAGGGATACAGCATCCGGGGTCCTGACCCCGCGTCAACACTACGTAAGGGCTGACTCCCTGGCTTTGACATTCATTCTGTCTTGCGTTGATGCTGACTTCACGCGTTGACTTCAACGCTGGCTCAACGCTGCGACGCTGGCTCGACGCTGCTGGCATTGTAACTTGGCGAGGCGCTGCTTGTCCGACATGGTGGCCGGCTTGCTCCTGTCTTCTTGGCATGCAGACGTGGCAGGTGCCATGCGCCTTCTCTGATGTGGCTGCAGCCACGTATATCATTTGGCTGGCGTGGCTGCTGCCACGTGTTCTATTGAAGGGACTACATATTCGACATTGCTGTTCTGTTTCGTCGTCACTTCAGGAGGAGATCAGGACTGTGGAGAGTTCGAGGATACGTACCTGATGGTCTTCATGTCGACATTGTTCCAGATGCTGATGTGGAACTGATTAGACGTGCCATATGGCACCTTGAGGATACTCGGATACTCGTTCAGACTATTGATTGTTGAGGTGGCAGTAGAGGAGGGAGCCCGAAGCAGGAGTGGGCATTGTACCTCCTCTCCTTTGTCTCTTCTCCCTTCTCTCTCTTCGTCTGTGTATGATATCTCACCTCATTCTGTCTGGGTACGATTTGGACTATTAGTAATCATCAGCCGATGGACATTTATCTGGGCTTGCATTGTTGACAACTGTCTCACGATCTGGGTTCATTGCATCTGTGTCTAGTCCAGATGCTATACGGATCTGGTTCTTGCATAACCATGGTGTAGAGACTCTCTAGACCATGGTTATGCCGGAACAGTGCACTACTTCTTGTGCACTTGGATGACACACATGAATGTGTGATTTTTCCCTGACCTTTGAATTTGGAGCAATGGAACAGGTGAGACCATCGTTCCTGAAGCAGCCTACTGGCAAACAGGGAGTATTCTATTGTCAAGACAGGTGTTTGGGGCTCCCTTGTGGTACTGGGAAATGACGAATATTCTTTTGTGAAGGCAGATGTTTTGAACTCCCTTGTTGTGATTAGAAAATAAAGTGGAACTCTATAGAAAGGAAAGCTGACTGCATGATAGAAAGGCCCAACCCCTTTTTTTTTAAACAGGGAAGGGAAGAGAAGGAGAAGGATGGGAAGGTCACTTAGTTTGGCAAAAAGATGTGCACCCTTTGATGATTCCTCTTTTCCTTTGGACAGGCTTTTGCTTCCAATAAGCAAGAGAGAGACAACCATCTTCGAGCAACTGCTGCTAGACACAATCTTGGTCATGTGGATACAGGGCCGCTGTCCACAGATACGGCTGAGGAGTTCACATCCAAGGCTATGCAACGGCTTTCAGACTTACAGCTCATGCTGAAGACAGTGAAGGTATGCCCTCTTTTCTATGCCATGCCCCTGAATGTACTCTGTGCTACATTTCTGGTTGGAGCAACTTTTGAGGATGTATGTCATCTGTGCTTTGTTTGTTGTTTTTGAAGTCTTGTAACTGTAGGATAAGGACTTTTTCATTTTCCTAACCAGCACACTCACAGTGCTGTCTGACCCTGTGTCAATCAGCAGCACCGAACAAACCCTAGATAGCGATGGGCGGAGCCATCCATTAAAATATAGCAATGATACAGACGTATTAGCATGGCCCCTCGTCAAGGATGACACACACAAATCAAGAAACGGTCCACATGTTTGCCTTTCTCTACAGTTCTGTGGCGTATGGACACACACCTTTCTCTACAGTTCTGTGGCGTATGGACACACATACTTGTTCAGGAGTGTGTGTTCAAACTTTCTCGCTCTCATGTGAACAGTTTGTACATGTCCTGTCTTTTTCCGATGGATTGTACTCCATACTAGAGTCATAGAGTAATAATAAAGACAAGGAGTCCAATGAGCGCATTTAGTCTGTTTTCGTCTGCTTTAACCAACCACAGGTTGCTGCGTATCTTGTACATGAAGGACATATCCAGTATGCAGTTATTCAGTAAAAGCCTTACTTGTGGCCATTTCACAGCTTGAGGGGTTTGCAGCTGTGCACATGGCTTTTTGTTTTTTGTTTTTTAATTAAAAAAATCCAACACAGCCCCTTCTATTCTGGGGGGCCGCCCGTTCTATCCATCACAGGGCATATTCACACTAGGACTTCTTAGACTGATACGTGGACGTAATAGTCAGATACATCCACAACTAGTCGGCGGTCATATATGTCTAGGAACGTCCTAGTGTGAGTACGCCCTCAGTGTGTTGAGGTGTTTGCTTTGGTAGATGATGCTTTTGGTATGCTTTCTTGAAACTGAGACGCTTGGTATGTACATCAAGCTCAAAATGAGGTTTGCAAATATCTTCCCTTCCTTGAGTTCTGAAAATTGTGCAACGAAAATGAGCGAGAGCGATAGACAGAAAACCACATTGTGATATCACGTTGGAGACCAGATAGTCGTGTACCAAGCAGAAAGCACAGTGCACCGAGATACAAGCCAAATAAGAGCAATACAATGAACTCAAATGTCCATGCCGGCACTGTCTCGCCACACCAACACAGTATAATGTGACCCTTCTTGATTGGCGCTCAGCGCACACCCTATCCTACTCAGCACTTAAACTAGCCTACAGCTACAACATGCAACAGGATCGCCTCAAGCTGAAGATGAATGTACGTTACGACATTGCCAATGCAGACTGTCAGCATACACCAGGTATGTGACTCTTCTCTCTCCCCTCTCATCCAGTGTGCGCCCTCATCTCCCGAAGACCACCATCGCCCAACAGCATCACTGCAAGCAGGCCTGGCTATGGACACTTGTGCCTACAGCCCAGCTGCGCCCTCACTCCTCTGTGCGCCCGCATGTGCCCCTGGCTCGCCAGCGCTCAGGCAGCCTTCCTGCTTCCAACGCAGCAGTGTGGCCACCCAGAAGTGTGAAGCCCAGAATGTGCCCTGGCTGGGCGAGGCACTTTCCCAAATGGAAAGTGCAGCCCTGCGCCTGGCTCTCTGGGCCTGGCAACTTGTGCCCAGTAGCTTCACGTTGGGCCAAAGTGTCTGCGCCCAGGCCCCTTCAGACAGTGGCCTGGGCCCACAGCAGTTAAGCTGCCCAACTGTGCGACGTGACCAGCATCGCACGCTGCACTGCCATTGGCCGAAAGGCCTCTGGCCACGTTGCTACCTGGCTCCTCATCGGCCGAGAGCCTCTGGCCACCACACGTGCTGGGTGAGCCCAGGGGCTCAGCACGTCGTGCTCACACTGGCGTGGCCCTGTCACCAACTGGCGCGTGGAAACTGTCTGGCTCCCCAACATGCAGAAAAGACAAAAATACGGCCTCACATATCACCTTCACTTAGGGTGTGCACGAGGCTTGCAGGGGGCCGTTTGGGCTGTAGGATTCCGCGGCCTAAAGGCCTTTGCGAGGGCCCATTCCTCACACTTGTGATCTGAAACTTGTGCGCAGTTGTCTTGTACTGATTCTTGCATGAGTGTTGCTCATGGATGTATTTACGTGTTTGGCTCATGTGTACAGGCAGAAAATGACGCCAAAGATAAGAGATTGGAGAAACAAGTGGATGATATGAAGAGACACGTGTTTCAGGCAGAGAGCACAATACAAGCCAGGAAAAAGCAAATGGTAAGATTTCTGCTCATGTTTGTGCTCCTTTTCTCCTTTTGAAGAGATATATTGATTTCTCGCTTGATGCTTGTGAAATCAAGCAGAGATCATGATCCAAGCCAGGGAAAAACAAGTGGTAAGATTTCTGCTCGTGTCAGTGCTGATCGCATTGTGATGGTGACGGTGTTTGCTTCTTTTCTCCTGACGAATAGAGACCGCTTGATGTTTGTGAAATAAATAATGCCAGGGGCTTGGGTTGACTTTTCTCTGAAGAAGGGTGCTGAATTTATCTGTGAAAGCGAAATCGAGATCCAGGTTGCCACAGCAAGATCCGCATGATGCAAGCACATACATAACGTAATTACAACTTGAAATAATATACACAGATTTCTTAAGATCGCGGTTACGACCGCCAGCAAAACAATGAGCAGGTAAGTTTCTTTCTCTGTCTGTCTGTCTGTCTGTCTCTGTCTGTCTGTCTGTCTGTCTGTCTGTCTGTCTGTCTGTCCATCCGTCCGTCTGTCTGTCTGTCCGTCCGTCCGTCCGTCCGTCCGTCCGTCCGTCCGTCCGTCCGTCTGTCCGTCCGTCCGTCCGTCCGTCCGTCCGTCCGTCTGTCTGTCTGTCTCTCTCTCTCTCTCTCTCTCTCTCTCTCTCTCTCTCTCTCTCTCT